TCCCTCGTCATGAATCCACCACCCGTTTCCTTCAAATCCAGCCCTAGCTCGTCGAATCCTTGATCAAAGATTCTTCGGCCAAAACCCAAAGTAATCCAATCACCACCAAATTAACACCATGTGACCGCCTGGGCCTCCTATACCCAACCCCCATAGCCCTGTCTCTCGAATCTACCTGGAATAGATCGAATATCAAATCAAAGGTTACCGACCAAAACCCTAATGCAAAATCTCCATGATTTCAGACCCTAACAACCCTAACCAGGTGTTTTCTTATGAAAACACGTGGTTAAGGATGTTACGGGTCAGAAATTTTGGGGGATTTGGAGAAACAACCACTGGCCGGAGCTCTTTGTTGTCAGTGAGTTCTTGTTGGTATTTTCTTTTATTTTCAATTTCTTTTTCCTTTTCTAATTTTCTGCATGTGTGAATTCTATGGTCAATGTCTAGTTTAATTTGCGTTTTAAATTTTTGTCAATATTGTTCTAATCTTGTGTCCTGATTTTTTGTGATTAAGTCTAGTTGTTTGTTTGATTTTAATATGTTCCAATTCCTGATCTTAGTTTGATTTTTGTTAAGCCGTTGATAATTTGTTAATTAGTTTTACTAAGTTTTGCTTGAATTAATTTCTGGTGTTCCTTTAGTTTAGGTTAATTACTAATTAGTTCAGTTTCAGTTTAATTAATCATCATGATTTGTTGAATTTGGTTATAGTTGATAGTTTAATTTGGTCATTAATTCTGAGTTCAATTGCTAGACTCAATAAGAGTTTAAATCGGGATAGATGTAGAGTTTAGGAAAATGTTTGGTTATAAATGTACTTTTAGTTTAAGTTCAGAGGTAGTTTAGGCATGGAAAAGGGCTGTTTCGTTAAAGAATAGTAATTTCAAAACCAAAATAAGGGTAGTATAGGTATTCTAGAGGTAGAAGAACACCCTAGGGCCTTCTAGAAGGGGGCCTTGGTGTAAGTTTCAGTTTTTTAGAAGCAGTAACTTGAGTAACAAGTTAGGAAATGAGGGTGTTAACTTGTGTAATAAGTTAGAAAACAAGGGACTAATAGGCAATTGAAAATCTGAAGCTTCCCCTTAGTTTTGCCTATAAAAGGCAGTCTTTATTGCTTTGTTGAAGGAGGTTGGAACCCCAAAAATTTCCCCCAAAACCCTCTCTGCAGATCTGAGCCTAAAATTTGAATTTCAAATTAATGGAAGTTCAAAAATCCTCTTCTAGATTTTAGTTTCGAAAAATCCAGTAGAAAATCCAAAAAAAAATAAAATAGAAAACTCGAAAAAACAATTGTTACATTGCTTTCCTTAGGCTATTTTGAACTCCAGCACTTAATTCAAGTTTCTAACTCAAATAGGATCCAAAACTATTTGAATTCCTTTGTTTCTATTTGGTATTTGAGGTCTGAAGGTAATTTGGGTCAGCTGGGCATTGAATATGATTAAATCGAGTTGATTATGGTAATCTGTTAAGTGTGTGGGTATGCTGGGTTCATTTTCTGGTTGTTTGATATAGTATTGGGTTAATTTGTTGATTCTGCTTGGTCTTCAATTCATTTTTGAACTGCTGAATCCTTTCTGGGCTGTTGTACTCGTTCATTGACTGCTGCTGGGTTATCACTGGTTCCCTGGAACTGTTACTGTTGCTAAATTCTCCTTCTTCCTTTGATCTTCTGATTTCCAGGTATACATTTTTGAACCTGTTTCGATGTATCATCCCCTGTTGACAATATGAAATGAAATTGAAGCAAATTCTCTGTTGTAGATCTATTAGCTTGTTATGTTTGAGATAGTTTGTCGTGATTTGGTGGTTGTACACTGTTATTAAATTCGAAATGCATAATTGAACTGACTGGTTATGTATTAATGGGACTATAAATTGTTATGTCTCAGATTCATGTTATTTTATTTTTCGAGTTAATTACTAGTTGTAGTTAGTCACCTATTAGCTGATGCATACACCTGTTAAGTACTAGTTGTAATTAATTTCATAGAATAAGTCCATACTAGTTGTAATTAATTCCCTATTAGCTGGTTCATGTCCCTGTATTAACAGACGGTTCAGTACAGGATAGAACTTCTACTAGTTATTTTCATATTCTCAATCGGTAATTAAGTCGATCATAGTCATAGATGAATACGTTGGTTTAAATGTTGGATTTAAGTTCGAGTCTCAGCATGTTGATTCATAAGTAAGGAAACTACTGTCCAATCCCACTAGGATTCTGAAATTGACGATAAGTCTCCAGTTTTGTTTTCTAAAAATCGAATTGTTGCTTCATATTCCTGGACGGTTTTGAATGTCAAGTAGTGTATTATAGATGTTAATCCAACGATGTGAAAGGACTGTGGCCTGGTGATCATTTGAATTCAATTTCGTTTCATAATTAGTATTGTGGCCTGTTTCAACTTGAGCCATATTTCTGGGCTCACTTTGGCCCAGTGGAGTGATGCCCTGCCAGAATAGCGCAAGACCCATTGATGATCACTTAATTGCTAAGAACTAAAAACTGGCGTGTGTTTGGGCCCTGAAGCTGGAGCTTATTGTGAATCGGATTGGGGCCCAACAGACTGAAACCCCATTGGGCTGCTGAATCATAGCCCTAAGGTTTGGGCCTCTTTGAATGCTTCTAGTGATAATTGATTGGTTAACTAATAAATTAGGGCCTTTAGAGACAAATAAAAATAGAAGAATATAGTTGCTTTTAGGTTGTTTTTTTTATAAAATGAGATGAGCCTCGCCGAACAAAGATACAAATGCGAGGCCCTCAATAGTGTCAAATGAAAGTTAATTAGAATTCGGGATGGCCGTTTAGCGAATCTCACGACTTTCCCCAAATAATAATACGCTAGACTCTTTAAGCACGACTTTAATAAAATTACATTCTTAAATACTGGTGCACATTTATGTGACCCAAATCCAAATCTCAACGAAGTCGAAATGTGTTGACAATCACGTGTGCATTGATTGCGACGTGGTTCGAAACACGTTTTCACGACGTTGCAATCCTTTTAAAATATTGATAATAGTGGTTTACGAATAAAAGGCACACATGTATTAAATCTGATAAAATCAAATACAATAGTTAAGCGACCGTGCTAGAACCACGGAACCCGGAAATGCCTAACTCCTTCTCCCGAGTTAAAAGAATTCCTTATCCGGATTTCTGGTTCGCAGACTGTGATAGAGAGTCAAGTTTTCCTCAGTTCGGGATTCAAAGCCGGTGACTTGGAATACCATTAATTTTCCAAGTGGCGACTCTGAATAATAATAATAAATCCCGCTCTGATTGTCCTTTAATTGTAAAAACTCCTTTACGCCCTTGCGGGTGTAGGTGAAAAAGGAGGTGTGACATTACTGAGTCAAATGCCTGCAGTAGCTTGTCATCTTCATCTGTTTTTGACCATCTTCCTTGTATTGTAAATATTGTTTCTCCCTCTTGTAATAAAGCTGTTATGAATAAGATGGACATTGTTTGGCATAATAGACTTGCACATGTTCCTTTTATTAAGATGAAAAGTATTTCTGAAATTTCCTCTCATATTTCTCCTACACAGTCTTTTCCATGTTCTATTTGTTCCATGGCTAGACAAACTAGATTGCCATTTCCTGATAGTTCTATTCATAGTTCTAAGCCTTTTCAACTTGTTCATGTTGACACGTGGGGACCATATCACACTTCTACATATTCAGGCTCCAAATAGTTCCTTACCATTGTTGATGATTTCTCTAAATGCACTTGGACTCATCTAATGGGGTCCAAAAGTAATGCCTTTCCCCTCTTGAAGGCTTTTGTGTTGATGGTTCAAACTCAATTTCATGTCACCACCCAAAGGATAAGATCTGATAATGCTCTAGAATTAGGAAATAGCAATGCTGTAGTTTCCTTCTTTTCTGAAAATGGAATCATTAATCAAACTAGTTATCCACACACATCTCAACAAAATGGTGTAGTGGAGAGGAAACATAGAACCCTTCTAGAAGCTTCCAGGGCTTTGCTTTTCCAATCCAAAGTACCAATCGGGTTTTGGGGAGATTGCCTTCTCACAGCCACATATATCATTAATAGACTCCCCTCTAGACTACTACAAAATAAATCACCTTATGAATTGTTTTGTTTGGCAAGACACCCAGCTATTCACACCTAAGAACTTTTGGCTGCCTCTATTTTGCTACTGTTCCCATTCCTCAAAGAGACAAACTGAAACCTAGAGCTATTCCATGTGTTTTTCTTGGCTACCCTTTTGCAAAGAAAGGTTATAAGTTGTATAACCTTCAGTCAAAATAGTGTTTTGTCTCTAGAGATGTCATTTTTCATGAACAACTCTTCCCTTTCTCTTCAGATTTTTCCCTTCCAGTTGTGTCAAAGTCCCCATTGTCAACCACCTCATCATCAGTTCCCACTTATTGGTTTGAATCTGGCATGCCTCCTGATGCTACCACTTCTTCTAGTCCTCTTTCAGTTCCTTTCCCTTCTGATGATCCATCTTTTCCTAATGCTTCTGACAACTACCATTCACCTTCTGATGCTTCACCTTCACCTTCTGATGTCTCACCTTCTCCTCACATTACTGACGATCTATTTGACTCTATTCCATCTACCTATTCTCCTGCCACATCTGTTGCATCACTAAGAAAATCTGCCAGAACACATACTCATCCCTCTTATCTAAAGGACTATCTTTTAAACTACCTAATTCCCTTTCCTGTTCTGCTATCCAACCTATAGAGTTTGAGCCATACACTTATTCTCAAGCAGCCCCTATTTCAGCTTGGCAGGATGCTATGAGAAAAGAGTTTGAAGCCCTAGAAGCTAATAACACTTGGATAAAGTTGAGTTACCCCTAGGTAAGAAGCCTATTGGCTGCAAGTGGGTCTATAAAATTAAATACAAAGCTAATGGTGAAGTAGAAAGATACAAGGATAGACTTGTTATTAGAGGGGACACTCAGGTTGAGGGGGTGGATTTCAATGAGACATTCTCTCCTGTAGTGAAGATGTCTACTGTCAAGTGTTTAATTGATGTTGCTATTAAGAAGAATTGGTCTTTATTTCAGATTGATGTTAATAATGCATTTCTTCATGGTGAGTTAGATGAGGAGGTCTATATGAAATTACCTCCTGGCCTTTCTATTTCATCTCCTTCTTCTTCTACTCCTTTGGCTTGCAAGTTGAAAAAGTCCCTTTATGGTCTTAGACAAGCTTCGAGGCAATGGTATGCCAAATTGCCTCAAGCTTTATATTCTAAAGGTTTTCATCATTCACTCACCGATTACTCTCTTTTTATCAAAGGCCCCGTGTCATCTTGTCATCCTAGCTGTTTATGTTGATGATATTATCCTTACTGGTGATGATTTATATGAGATTTCAGCTTTGAAAAACTTTTTAGATTCTGAGTTTAAGATAAAAGACTTGGTCTCTCCTTATTATTTTTTGGGTATTGAGGTCAATGCCTTACCTGATGGAGTTATATTGAATCAGAGGAAGTTCACTTCTGACTTACTCAAAGAGTATGATTGCATGGATGTTCATTATATTGTTAGCCCATTTGATTTGAATCAGAAGCTTAAGGCTGATGTTGGGGATCTCCTTCCTAGTCCTAAGAAGTACAGAAGCCTTGTGGGGAAGCTATTGTTCTTGACTCATACCCGGCCTGATATTTGCTTTAGTGTTCAACATCTGAGCCAGTTTATGCAGACTCCCCGGGTTCCTCATATAATTGTTGCTCTTCATTTGCTAAGGTACCTCAAGGGTACTCCTGACCTTGGCCTTTTTTACTCTAACTCTACTGATTTCTCTATCAAAGCTTATTCTGACAATGATTGGGTTGCTTGCCCTAACACTCGCAAATCTGTTTCTGGTTTTTGTATTTTCTTGGGTGATAGCCTTGTTGGCTGGAAATCGAAGAAACAACCTATGATTTCTCTTTCTTTCGCTGAAGCTGGGTATAGGGCTATTAGTACGGCTGTTGCTGAATTGGTTTGGCTGTCCAGGTTGTTGCATGATCTTACTATTGATGTTTCCTTCCCCATTTCTATTTTTGTGACAATATGACAGCCATTCACATTGCCAAAAATCCTGTCTTCCATGAGCGCACTAAACATATTGAAGTGGACTGTCACTTCATCTGGAGTAAGTTGACTGAAGGGTTCATCCAGTTGTCACATGTTCCTAACTCTGAGCAATTGACAGATGTATTCACCAAGCCATTAACTGGTGTCCTCCATCACTCCTTTCTTGGCAAGTTGAAGGTTGTTTCCCCATCCAACTTGAAGGGGGGTGTTGGGCCTCCAGCTTGCACTACTTTAGGCCCAATGTAGCATACTTAAGTTGGCCCAGATATTTATTTTATACTTAGCCTTTTGTACTAGTTAGCCTTTATTCTTTGTTAACATAGCATAGTGGTTATTTTTAGTAGTTATCCATTCTTTACATTGTATAGACAGATTATAAATACAAAGAGGCCACAACTGTTAAAGGTTGACCGGTTATTTTCATCATCTCTTTCCCTTATGTTTCTCGATGAAGAACTTTCTAGAAAATCTCTAACCTCCATTAACGAACCTCAATTTCTGATCTTCCTTCACNGGGGGGGGCATTTCTTCCACTACCACTACCCCTTTGGTTCCTCAAAGCAGTATTAGTACTATGTTCTAGGAAATGAGTGGTTGCAAAAAAAAAAGGTGACAGTAAAATTATGGAGGAATTGTTGGCCCCCCTTTGCTTGAACATGGAGCAATATAAGCTGCCAATACAACAGTCATTGAGTAGTAAATACGGAGCAATAATTGTCCTCAAAACAAAGATAGACCAAGCAGAACAACTTTGTAACTGTTATGAATAGTTTGTACATTGGATACTACTTTGGATACTACATTGGATGCTACATTGGATGTCCATGTTATGAATAACTTAAAGATTAAATTTCCTACTTTATGTCCATCATCTTTACTTTTTATGCCTATAAAAGGCCATGTAATTGCAATAGAAAAATACACCAAAGTGAAAGAAGAAAACACTTCTCCCTTCTTTCGATATCTTCTTATTTACATTTTACTGCATTACTTTTATTTTATAACACGTTATCAGCACGAAGCTCTAATTTTATTCTTAACTCCCGCTAAGTTGAGCCATATTTTATTAAGGTATGTATCATTATAATCATCTTATTTATGGCAGTACATATCATATGCTCACTGTTTGCAGATTACTTGTGCGCTTGGGCATCTTAAATAGTTTAAGTACATTGCAGTGATTAAATAACTATTTCCTTCCGTGCTCAACTCTTAGAGGACCTCAAAGTCATCAAACTAGCTATGCACTAATGTCATGGACTCCCTGGATCAAAACATATCTTTAAGGCATTTTGAAGAACTGTGAGAAATGAATTGACAAGCAATAATTTTTTAATTACTTTATATTTATTGGAACATATAAATAATGTTAGTCACGTTCAATTCTATTAACACATATATATCAATAATATAAAGTGAAATGAAACAAGTATGTAATTTCTACTTTATGGCAAGAATAAAATGAAATAGTAGATTGTTAACATGATATAGCTCTATTTTCATTTCTTTTACCTTAATCGTTTTGTTTTCATTAATTGTTTATTATTATAATTATTTCTCTAACTTATTCATCTTTTATGATAGTTTTCACTATGTCAAATTTATCAAAACCTGAATTGTGGCACTTGGCATCACCGGAAGGAACTATTTATCATGGATTCTTGGTGCTGAAATTCACCTTGATGCTAAAGGTCTTGGAAATACTATTATACAAGGAAATGAAGCATC